AAATTTGTTAATTTTTGTCAAGCTGATTCATATCTTTCAGATGGTCCAGTTGAATCGAACCACGTAGAAAATACAGAAGCCAAGACTTTATGCAGTTGTACTAATTTAGAAAACGGCGTTGAACTAAAATGTGGGCATATTTTACCCGTTTTAAGTGTATCTTGTAAGGAAAATGTTTCTTCTTCTAGGGATAATTCAAATATGCCGATTACTGAGGGATATGTTAATGATAAAAAGATCAGTGTATTACGGGATACGGGCTGTAATGGGGCTGTAGTTAGAACAAGTTTAGTTAATAAGTTTCAATTTACAGGAGCAACTCAGCGGTGTGTCTTAATCGATGGAACTGTCAGAAATGTACCGGTTGCTACGATTTATGTAAAAACTCCTTATTATACAGGTAACATTGATGTTGTTTGTATGTCTAACCCAGTTTATGATCTTATTATAGGCAATATACCTGACGTAAGACAGCCTTTCAACCCAGATCAAAATTGGGAAAGTGTTTCTGAACCATTAGCACAGGCTGTAGAAACTAGAAGCCAGGTAATATCTAAAAATAAAAAGTTTAAATCTCTTTCAGTGCCTGCAGCGTTAGGGGAAGTAACTGTAGATGAAATAAAGAATGAACAAATTAAAGATGAAACGTTGAAATCTGTAAGAGATAAAATGACTAATGGTGACAAAATTGAACGTGGTTCTAGAATATCTTGGTTTATACTAATCACGGGTTTAATCTACAGGTGTTTTATGTCTTCAGATGTTGAACATGGGGAAACTTTCAAACAACTTGTCGTTCCTAAGTGTTACAGGGGTCAGGTTCTTAAATTAGCTCACGAGTCTATATTTGGTGCTCATTTGGGGATTCGTAAAACTACGGATAGGGTATTATGTAATTTCTTTTGGCCAGATGTTCATGGAGATGTTTCAAGGTTTTGTAAATCTTGTGACATTTGTCAACGCACGTGCCCAAAAGGTAAAGTAGTTCCTTTAGGTACTATGCCACTGATAAATGTTCCATTTGAACGTGTAGCTGTTGATTTGATTGGTCCGATTTTTCCAATAACTGACAACGGTAAAAGATATATTCTTACATTAGTAGATTTCGCTACTCGGTATCCAGAAGCTGTCGCTTTAAGGACTATAGAAACTGAGCAAGTAGCGGAAGCCTTGGTTGACATTTTTTCTCGCATCGGCTTTCCGAGAGAAATTTTAAGTGACAAGGGTACGCAATTTACATCTTGTCTAATGAAAAAGGTAAGTGAACTATTATCTATAAAGCAGTTAGTAACGACTCCTTATCATCCAATGTGTAATGGACTCTGTGAGAGGTTTAACGGTACTTTAAAAAGTATGTTGAAAAAGGTCTGTGCAGAGAGACCAAAGGACTGGGACAGATATTTACCAGCAGTTTTGTTTGCATATAGGGAATCTAGTCAGGAAAGTCTAGGGTTTAGTCCATTTGAACTATTGTATGGAAGAACAGTGCGTGGGCCGATGGCTATATTACATGAATTATGGACAGGTAATGTTGCGGAAACTGAAGTTAAAAACACTTATCAGTATGTATTGGATCTGAAAGAACGTTTAGAAAGTACATGTAAGTTAGCAAGAGAAAGTTTGATTAAAAGTACAGATCGATATAAGAAGTATTACGATAAAAAGAGCAGGGTAAGGAATATTAGCATAGGTGATCAGGTTCTCGTATTATTGCCAACAGATGCCAATAAACTACTCATGCAATGGAAAGGTCCTTTTACTGTTGTGGATAAATTTGGAGAAATGGATTTCAAAATCAGTATTAAAAATCAATTAAAAACTTTTCATATAAATTTACTTAAAAAGTATATTCCAAGAAACAATGATGATAAAGATCTGAATTTTTTACAGGCAGATGTAACAAATATTGATATGGATGTTGATGAAAATGTATTTTGTTCAGCAGTAATAGAGGATTATGATGATCTTGTCGAAGTTGATACAGAGACGGAGATGATAGATTTACCAAACTTGAGCCAAAAAGAAACCTTTAAAGACATTGTTTATAATACAGATTTAAGTTTAGATAAAATAACTAATTTAATTGATTTATTCCAGGAGTTTTCAGACATATTAACAGATGTTCCAGGCTGTACAAACTTGGGTGAACATAAGATTAATTTAATTTCAGATAAACCAGTAAAACTAAAACCATATCCAACTCCGTACGCTATGAAAGATGTTGTGATTAAAGAAGTTGAGAATATGTTACATTTGGGTATTATTGAGCCTTCGACATCTCCGTATAGTTCTCCTATTGTCATTGTTAAAAAACCTGATGGTTCTAACAGATTTTGTATTGATTTTAGAGCACTCAATCGTATAACAGAATTTGATGCTGAGCCTATGCCTAGACATGATCATATCTTTGCTAGGATTACAAAAAGTAACTACCTTTCAAAAATAGATTTAACAAAGGGCTACTGGCAAATACCCCTAGAAGAGAGTCCTAGGTCAAAGACAGCTTTTGTAACCCCTTTAGGTTTGATGCAGTTTAGAAACATGCCGTTTGGCTGTGTAACAGCACCAGCGACATTTAGTAAAATTATGAGGAAACTCTTGTATCACTTGGATGGAACTGATAACTATTTAGACGATATTTTAGTTTTTTCAGAGACTTGGTCAGATCATCTACAGATACTTCGATCTTTATTTGAACGATTACGGGCTGCTAATTTGACTGCACGTCCCAGCAAATGTTCAATCGGGTTTTCAAAGTTAAATTATTTAGGACATTTTGTAGGTCAAAGAGTGATTCGTCCCATGGAGAATAAAATTGAAAGCATCAAACAGACAGAACCCCCTAAAACGAAAAAACAATTACAATCATTTTTAGGGTTAGTGGGATATTATCGACAATTTGTACCTAACTTTTCAGCGGTAGCAGTTCCACTCACAGATTTAACTAGAAAGGGAAAACCAAATAAACTAGAATGGGGAAATGCTCAAAATAATGCTTTTATTTTTCTAAAACAGGTTTTGTCAAATTCACCAGTGCTGCGTTTGCCAGATTTTACTAAAACATTTATTTTAAGAACTGATGCTAGTGGAACAGGTTTAGGGGCTATTCTTTTACAGGAATTCGAGGATGGCAAGTTTCCATTGGCTTATGCCAGTAAGAAACTTTTACCGCGTGAAACAAGGTATGCTATTATCGAAAAAGAATGCTTAGCCTTAGTTTGGGGTATTAAAAGATTTGAGGAATACCTATATGGTGTTGAATTTTTGGTTGAAACTGATCATGAACCGTTACAGTATTTACACAAGGCCAAAATTGCTAACAGTAGAATTATGAGATGGGCATTAAGTATACAGAATTTTTCATTTATTGTCAGGGCAATAAAGGGTAGAGACAATATTGGGGCAGATTATTTGAGTCGATCAGTTAGTTAGTTAGTCGGATAAACTATTTCTCTTAAGTTTACCCTTGGGGTGGGGGGTAATGTCACAATTGGTATGTTAATTTGCTATGTATAATTGTGACATGGTTTATTTCTGTGATTTAGGGTACCTAATTAATTTGGTACATGGCTAAAGGGAATATTTATTTCTTTTAAAGACATGTATAAAGGGTTGTACAGGTTTTGGTTAATAAAGTTTAATTATTTTCAATGTATATGCGTTGTTTTTACAGAACGATTGTTGGTATGTCTGAGCAAGTTAGGTAATGAGGGTGTAAAGTAATGAATGTGTCTGGATTGTGATGCATGTGCAGGTGGTGCATAATTCTGATTGGATGTTTGAGTGACTAAAAGTTTCTTGGTGTAGGAATTAGAAAAGTTTGTCAGAGAGGTTTAAATTAAGTTACAGGATAGACATGGCTGTTTTCTCTACTTAGATCAGAGAGATTTTAAAGGACCAGACATGACTGTTTTTCAGTATCTACAGTAACACCAATGACTGGCTTTAGATGCTTAGAACCTGGTAATTAAATACGATGTATTTAAGTGTGATGAATCCGTTCCTTGATGAAATAACATTTAACCGGTAATGTCTAGGTGATCGATATAAATCATATTTCAACCCAGGGGTAACCTTGTGAATCATATTGTAGTTTAATCTTGGTGAACTTTGTGAATCGTACGCATGTAGTCTTGGTGAAGTACATTTCAATCTTGGTGAAGTTTTAATACAATTAGTGAGTCTAGGTGAATACGAGAAATAGATCTGTGGCATGTGAAGGTTTTGTGTTTTCCGAGAATTTGTGTTCGGGCTTAAAATGTTTTAAAAAACCAACTTACGCGATTGGGATGGTGGAATTAAGACGGAGAATTAATCTGAATGCTAACCAGGAGGATTGATTGAATTAAAGCAACAGAGTATTAAATGCCGGAATGAACTGTAACTTTAAAGCATTTAATTTTGTAAAAACCTCTTAAATTGTATATGTAAATTGATTGTACAATATACATATTTAAAATAAATTAATTAGTTGTGTTGTTTGTTGGAAATTTGGAAAAGGGGGCAAGTAAGTTAAAGAACCTGAGGTCACTTTGTGACAATGTAATCAAATTTTGAAAGTACAGAAAGCGTTATCATATTTTAAGTTCCGAGTATTCGAGGGGGTATTATAATAATACTTCTGGTATTCGATGGTACAATAATACTTCTGGTATTGAGGCAGTTGAGTATTCCGACACACTGTGTAATCCGGCATATTGTATCGATCCTGTACAATGTCGGAATTGACAGAGACCACTGTATTATACAAAGTCCTATATAACTTTTAACTGTTTGAGTTATCAGAAATCAGGGACTTCTTTTGTCTCATCAACATAAACATTGTGTATTATAAATTTTGAATCAATGCGATAATCACTTTTGCCACCTAGAGTGTCTACAAGCTATTGTGGATGTTATACTAATGGGGTTGACAACAATATATGACTATATTTTAATGTGTGTGTATAAAATGTTATTTTATGCATTCTAAATACATATTTGGTCTTTATCTACTTTACCTTGAATTGTTTTTGGATAAGTAGGATGATCAAAATCTGTAATTTTATCCCAGTTAGCTCTGACTGTAGAAAAAGAAAATAAACAAAATTTAATAAACAAAATATTCTGTAAAAGAATGATTCCTTTCAGAAGCATGAAAAACCTTTTTTAGCTATAAATAAATTCCATGATTATAATATCCCATAAGAACATCTTCTGCTCCATATATTTACATGATTGACACATCAAACCTCTTCTATTCTGTGCTAGACATTAGAAAAAAACAACATGTTGAAACTAATGCCAGTTGTTAATTCTTAGCTGCACCTAAGCTAATTAGAGATAGACATCATCTTAAAATATTTCTATTTGTAGTTAACTCACATAACCCTACATCAATGGACTTTCAGAAGATATGAGTAACATTTCTGGTATTAGTACTTGTTTGTTTTTCTTGTTGTCACATGACTATATTTCATTCAGGTTTTGTAATAATAATAATAATATGTAAATTTATAACGCGCACAGTTCCATGACTGTAAAAGTTGTATGCATGCTCATGGCACTATAATAGGCTGTAAATGGACAAGTTTTTAATGTAGTTTTGAATGTTACTAGGCTGGATGACAGTTTAATGTTCGAAGTAAGAAATTCCACAGAACAGGCACAATGTGAACAATCGATCTGTATCCAAAGGATTTGAGTTTATATTTTGGGATTATAAGGTGTTCTTGTTGAGAACATGTCCATTAAAATATGGTGATAAAAGATCTGCTAGATTTGGCCCGAAGGCCGGTTTCCAGGTAAACACTTAAACGCAAGACACCGGACAGCTTAAATGTAGCCAATGAAGTTCTTTGAGTGCTGGTGTGATATGCTAGTTTCTGGGTAAGCTGCATGCTTCACTGATGACTCAATAACTACATAGAATATTAAAATCAACCATTTCTGCAAAATTTTAAGAAAGTTTGTCCATAAGCCTTATTCCTATGAGTTCTCTGGTTCCATAGAAAGAGATTAATCATAAAATCCAAGGACTAAACACAATTTAAACTGTAAAAAATCACTGAAATTATCAGAGGTTCAACTGCCAACTTTGTATAGGTTTCACTCTAAAAATTCTTCTTCATGTAGTCAGGCTCTAGACAATCATTGAAATATCATTATGTAGTAAATACAACTTGTTCTCGGTCGACAATAAAGTTTCTCTACTCAAGGCTGCAATTTTGTTGTTTCTTTAGGATTACACATAATTATTGATCTTTAATCATGTCACAAAAAGCAAAATATTGTTACCAAATAATATTCCTTTAAATGGCTTTTGAAGATCACTAAATGATCCACTACCAATTATTAGATGTAGAATCCAAGGCTTATGATGACAGTGCTTTCAGAGCTTCCTGTGCATTGAAAACCAAAATATTGTGAGCAGCTAGTGGTCGCCAAAGGGTTAATCCTAAATATTTAAAATAATTGTAAATACCGGTAATGTAAAGATTTTTTTCTTATTGATTTAAAACTGTAGTATCTTTACCTTGTTCTGGTGTGGTGTTTTGACCTTTTTGTCTGACAATAGCACCTTCTGTTCTCTGCCATCTTACTATAGATATTCATGAAAGAAAAAGTTAACATGCAAATACTTCATGCAAAATGATGTACATGTAACTGAAAATGATTTCATGAAAATAATTGATGCCAAAAGTACAGCTAGTAAGCAAAATAATATTTTATTGCAACAATATTTTTATGCCCTCATTTTGCAAGAGATGGATTAGAGAACAAGCTAAAAATGCGATTTTTCATTAGATCAGGGGTCGTAATCCAGGATGTTATGGTCCGACATGTATCAATATCGAAAGGAACCAAGGTCTTTGAGGTATAAGCATATATTTTAAGTTTTAACAAAACTCAGATAAAAATTGTAACCTGTAAAGTGTTCACAAAACAAAATATGAATGGATGTATGGACAAAGGCACAATACATCCACATGAAAATTTGGGAGTATAAAAATTGAGATATCCTTACATTTTCCAATCCATCCTGCACCAACTTCGAACAATGAACCATTTTCTTCAGTTTCTTCATTACATAGATATAAAACCAAGGGAGAAACATATATTGGTTTTAATGCTTCAACCATTTCTGTAATTAACACCATTATAATAAGGATGTGAAAAACTTGTTTTATACTTTGAATTATCAAATATATATCTACATACAGAATTAATAATACATGTAGTTATTATCATACCATAATGAAAGCAATCAGACACCAAGGTTCGTGTAGGTGGGAGATGGAAGGAGCCGCATTCTCTTTAGAACTAGAATATCTGTGCCGATGTCTGTTGACCCGAGATATTTGTTTTGTTCTCTGTGCAGAATGCATAGGAAAATAGAGACAAGGGAGATAGAACTGTGGTCTAACATCCATTCAAGAATCCTAGATCATTTCAAATTGCTTGCGTGCAGGGTTCTATAGCAGTGGGAAGAAACCAGTAACTTGAGAAAAGCCTGGGCTCGAAATCTAGTGGCAGTCAATTCTTTTTATGAATTGTCAGATATCCTCTCACAGTCTCACACAACAACTTTTCGTCTTGGAAGGAATTATTAGTGAGCAGAAATTCGCCCATGTATCTGTTATCACTTGTCACTTCAGTCAGTTATATAGAAGGATGACTCGTGTCAGGAAACCTGTATTACTCAGCTATCGTAGCAATGATCTCTGTGTTAAAATTATATTTGGAACGTGTTTAATTAGTTCTATCACATATGTGATAATGACTGACACCAATATTGACGTTTAAATTCTGTATAAATCCCTGGAAAAAAAATCCCTGATGTCAAAAGGAGAACGATATGAAAGTCCTGAGAGTAATAAATAAGGATGAAAATTACATTTCCTGAGATGAAAATTTTGTAAATAAACTACTATACTGTACCTGAATAAAAGTCAAATAAAGACGTTAAAACTAACCTGAAGGCATTACTGTTTCCGTTAATCTAGAGCCTGCTATAGGAGCAATAGTATTACAATGTATATTGTTCTTTCTTCCTTCAATACTTAATGTATTACTTAATCCTAATAACCCTAATTTAGCTGAAAAATAATATTTATTAGTGTAAAAGTATTAGCATCTTAATACAAATCATTTAAACCTTGGATTATCAGGTCATTACAGGGCCAGATTAACCTTTGAGTGATGTCTGGGACAAATAGATTTGATTTGGTGCATTCGGACTCTCAGGTATACTAGTTGAGTAACACAAATTAAATAAACAACCAGGACTGAATCACATTGACCTTCATACTTTCAAATCTAAATTAGAACCTCCTGGTCATCCAATGGAACTTGGCCATGAAGTTGATTGATCTTCCAATATATTATTCATGAAATCGTGAAGTTACAATTTTTAACCAATTTTAAACATACATGTAATTTCATAATATTCTTAGTAAATAAAAAAAAAATACATTTAATGTCAGATGTGGTAAAAAATGTTTTTGACCATGAGATTTTCAGTTTTATTAACAATACAACCAAAAATAGTTGATATTATACTGTCATTCAATTATATACACAACCTTAGTAGTTTTGGGAGTTTTAACTATTGAAAACTAACATGGATTTTAGTCCCTTATGAATTTATACAACTGAATATGTTGGTGTAGTAACTTCAGCAATTTCAAAAGATAAAGTTTGGATTTAATAAGCTATAGGCTATGTAATGTAAAACAAGATTTTATTTGTGATTGTTGGTGGAACTTTTAATGTAATTTAAATACTGGTCAATTATAGCAATGACAATGGTCATTTAATTAATTTAATTTAAGTCCTCATCATCTATGATATACATGTATAGGTATTACATAGTGATTGGCTTAATTAATAAGGAAGTAAAGAAGCCACCTGTTATAGGAATAGTCAAGAATCAATTAAGGATTTGTCAGGTGAATGGTGTTATACAGTATTTTGTGCAATATTTTAATTACCTGCACTGTAATTAGCTTGACCAAAATTTCCATAGATACCAGCAGCTGAAGCTGTCATTATTATTCTATATATTAATATAAAAAATATGTTATAATGTTGTATATTAATTCTCCAGCATTGAAACTGGATAGAGCAAAAAATTGGACTCGAAGTGCTGGTGAGACATAATGCTGCTGTGATAATGTGCTATCTTGTCATGGCTTTGCCACGTCTCTGGTACTTATGAATTAATGCAAAGGTGCCCTTATTAAAAATCAATTATTTTCTGTAAATATCTTCTCTAATCTAACTCTAAAAACTGAATTTTTGTTCAAACCATCATCACCTTCCATAATTTTGTTTCTTCATATGTGGCCATGCTGCTCTTGTTACTAAGAAGGATCCTCTCAGATGTACTCTGTGTATTAGATCTATAAAATAATAAAACAAATATTCCTAATACTGATATTAATCTACCGGTACTAGGCTATGAATGTGCAGTAGTTAATGAGAGTTTTTATTTCATTGAGATAAAAAAAAAAACGAGTCATGCGACCCTTTCAGCGTGATATTGAAATATCTGAGGAACAGAATATTTTTTTATATGGCCTGATGATTATTGATAGAAAAATCAGGTAATTAATGTAGTAAAATATTATTGATATCTAATGTATAATTTGGAATATGTTGGTATGTAGCAGATTAAAACTAAAAGCAATAGGAATATAAACTTACCCCAGTCCTGATCACTCGTTCTTGCAAATGACTTATCTCTTAGAATACCGGCATTGTTGACAACCACATCTATAATACAATAATATTCTGCACTGATGGGAATAATGAAGACGAAAAATACAAACAAATGGCATTTAGTACAGGGCATTTAGAACAATTTCATGAATACTAATGTAAACAATTTACACATAAAATAAAGAGAGTTTTACAAATAAAAACAATTTGATTGTATTTCACTTTTATATTTGTTTGGTAGGGGTGGGGTGCAATTCCAATCCTATTTATGTCAAGGGTAAGATTTATATTTGGTGCAGACATTTTTAATTTGTATACAAACCTATTCTCCCAAAGGCATCTAAAGCTGTTTGTATTAATTTTTCTCCATCTTCAACTGAATCTACAATTGAAAATATAGAGCTTTATGATACACTGAAGTTGTTATGCAAGCAGATAGAAGAGGAAAAAAAGAAAATATCATCAATGTAGTACAGCTTTCTAGCACTGAACATGCACTCACAAGAATGTGTCTTGGGATAACAAGAATTCCATTATAATGTCGCCAATGACAATGTTCAACTATACATGTTACTGTGACTACATACCATAGTTAGCTACAGCCTTTCCTCCTTTACTTTTAATTTCATTAACAACTACATCAGCCGCTCTTGACCCCTGACCTTCACCTCTCATATCACCTCCAAGGTCATTAACTGAAGAAGAAACATATTTTCAATCTGTTAATAAATTCATCCAGCTTGACATAAGTATGCGGTTGTGACTTAAAAAGATACTAGCTAGGATATATTGGCAGCGGTTATTCAAAGCAAAAAATTCAATACAGTTATTGCCAGTTTCAACCAAAGTAGAGAGAATTTGTTTTTTAGTAATTATAAAACTTGATCTTACCAACAACAGATGCGCCTCGTTCGGCAAATGCCAAGGCATATTCTCTACCAAGACCTGCAAAAGAATACAAACACAATTTAAAGATAATATTCCATGATTCTGTGACCATTGTTTATTTACATATAGTAGCTAGGCCTGCATAATGAAATTCTTTGACATGGAGTTATGCCTATAAAAATTTCTTGTATTGTTCGTAATTTGGATACATGTGTATATTCTTACATGGAACTTCAGTTCCAGTTGTCAAAAGAATATAAATTCTTTTTATTTAATATTAGTTTATAAAACTATGTTTAGAACATATTGAAATTCAACCGATTTGGTAATGCTACCAAACCAAATTATTCTACCAGTATTTCTATTGCCATAGTAAGAAAAAGAAAATACAGGTATAAAAAATTGTTAAAAAAAACTTGCTTTAAAAATAGAAGATCAACTGTAAATAAATATATTGACTAAGAATTGAGGACACATTGTTTAATGACTGTAGATGTGCTTTCATAGTTTAATGAGAAGATGTAACATGTAGGCTATAATGTGCATGATGAAAACTCATTTTGTTAACAAATTTATCAAATCATAAAAATTGAAAAATAATCACTGCCATAAGTAACTAAAATGAAAAAATTTAGGCAGAAGAAAATAGAATTTTGAAATTATATTAGAATAAATGGATTGAAAACCGAATATCAAAACACAATGATCACTAAATGACTTGTGCATAGAAGTCTGGGAGCAAGCTGGCCTTCCAATTTCAGGCAAAACATATTAGAGTATATTTGGGCAAATGCAATAAGAAAGATAGGTTGCCAGGCAATTAAACATATGCCCATAGTAGCTTAGTGATCTGAGCTGTCCACAAAGGTTGTCTCATATTAGCTTCTTTTGGATTATTTTCTGTATAAGATTTTCATATAAGAATGGAGTTATTTGTTGACTAAGTAACTAAGTTTAAAGCAGTAACTGATATGATGTTGAAAATGTACGACAAGTGTTAATATTTGACCGTCAAATTTTGGGAATTAAACCAGGGAAAAGTTCAGACCAAAACAAAGAAAATCGCAAATTGTGACTGCAGGTTGGCAATCAGGATTTGAATTATTTACAAACACAACACACTATTTCAGTAAGAAATCATCCATGGAAAATTAAATCACTTGAACTTCCACGACTCTCGATCACACACAGATAAAGCAGGATTTTGAAATTCACTGAACAATCTTATTTTCCAGTTAGAAATTTATAATCTATAACAATTCAAGAAGGGAAAGGTCTACTTTTAACAATGTTTCTGTCTTCTATATCTTTAAATAGTGTTTTACGTCTGCTTCCACCGATGGTGATATCACAGACAAGTTGTCTTATTTTATTATGTTTATCGCACATGCAGGGGTCTTTCCAGTGGGAGGGGGGGGGGGCTTTCCAGTGGCAGGGAACCAGAGTACCTGGAGTAAAGAAACGAGGATGATAAGGTGCCCCCATCTCCAAGCCACATACACTCACACCAGGGATCAAAAACCATGACCGAAAGCCAGAGGTCACCAGCCAGCACGAGATGTAAGCACGACACTCTAGACCACTAAGCCATTCCAACCCCCCTTACACGTATGTATGTATGTGTTTGTTTATTTGTAGCTTTGGTAAGGATTAGTCCAGTCAACATGTTAATTGAGCTGTGCTGTCAATAAACATCAGATTATGGCTTTAATCGAAAAGTGTTTTAGAGCTTCTGACACATTAACAGTCATATATGGAAAAATCGTAATCTGAAATTACTGTAAAGTGTTTATAATAAACATACCACTTTTATATGGCCATTTTGTGTGCTCTTTAAGATGTAGCTGTATGTATTTTTAATTCATGGATAAAAGTATACAAAGTAATAATTTACTTCAAACATACATGTTCTTAAAAGTCCTACTATCCTCACCATCTTATTGCTAGTATTCAGGTATTATTACAGTCAGGAATAAATCTGGGCTCTATACTAATATTATGTATACACTTATATTTCACTTAGTTGTTATCTAGTTATACAGATTATTGAAAACTAAATGGTAGGCCCAATTTACAAATTCTTCTAGCAAGTACTAAAGTTATCATGTTTATCCATTTGAGAAGTTGAACTAGTGACCTGTATAACCACATATATGAATATATGTGTAGATCTAAAATGATGATTATAAACTTTATGTGGGTCAAAGTACATACATCGATAGCAAATTACTTGTAAGGTACTGATTAAACACACTTTGTTATCCATTATGATTGGAAATACTAAGAGACTCGGAAAAACTCAAAAGGCTGGACTGGCAACCCTATTCCTTGTCACATACAAGTAGGGAATCGAAACCACACTCAATGACAGACCTTACGATCTAACGCGCCACATTAGACCAATCGACCACTGATCACCAACACCAACCCCACCCCAAAAAGGAAATGGAAAATAAGTAGGCTATATTGTTTTAAATAACTTACATGGTTAGTGTGACACTAATATTTCAGAAATACTAAGACAACAAAATTTGAAATACGATGTTCTTTTACAGTTTAGTAATCATATACATATGTTAATATATCTCATGAAAATACACGACAAGCTCTTATGCCAAAAAACTTATTCATTATGCCACAGAACATGAACAGATAGCCATGCAAAACATAGAAATATGCCCACACAGCAGCTATGTCTAAAAAAAACCAACAACCAAAAACACTGAGACAACAGCTTATCAGAAAACAAAACTTGGATGTTTTTCAAATTTGATAAGGATACCTTCAAAAAATGCCAGATATAAAAGTGTTATGTTAGGTGTAGGCCACTGTGTACACAGCACCTTTTTTTATCATCTGAACAACTAGATGATGTTCCTTGTCAGACACCCTTGTTCTGTCCTACACCACTGACATATAGAAACTATGCTATAAAATCCTGTGTACCTTTTTTTGGCCAACACCAGGAATCCTGTTACTCCTGGAAAGCTCCATGTTCCTGAAGCAACGACTGCGAGTTTTACAACATCTGGCCGTTGCTAGTTTACTTCACAATTAACCGAACTTATAGCTATTTTATCTACAGACACGTGAGCAGTAGAGCCCTATCAGAGGTTGTGACATCGTGACCTCCACGGAAACCTTGACATTGAATGAACCTTGAACTTTGCTACTCGATTATCTCAGGTAGACATTTTAGCTTGAAAGCACGAGACTTGGTATTCGCGACGATCGAAGAATTTGATAGGCTCACATTAAGCTGGGCTTGTACCCAATCGAAATTAGTGCCAAAATATGCAGGGTATTACGTGAAGGCCTTGATAAGATGTACGTAGTTAAAGCGAGATCAAGCCTTCTATTGAAGATGGGAAAGCTCTTACTACCCTTTACTCTAATCATGAATCTTTGTTATAAGACTTCCAAGAAATACTAACAAAAACATCCAGTTTACAAGTGGAGTGGAAGATAAGCTTTTTGAAAAGTAATAACCTTGTGTCTGTAACTGAAAGGTGTGTGCAGTGACAATTTCCCACTATAAGATTTTGCAGCATTTTGAAGGAGCTAAACCTCTTAACACAATATTTTCCATAAAATTAAAATTAAAAATACGAATTAGAATTCAATATTGGTCCATTTCAATCAATATTGAAGTTGTTACCTAATATCGAATAATAAAAAGACACAATGAACATTTTAAAATCAGTACACAAGTCTTGTTCTGTCTTCGTTCGTTTGTTCGTTTCTGGGGTTTTACGTCCACTTCCACCTAAGGTGATATCGTAGACAAGGATGTTTCCTAGGAAACTTACTGGAGGAAGCCGTATGGATTAAGCTTTGGTCCAGTTTAATTTGAGACATAGTGTCTTAGCAGGGAATGCCCAAGTTAAAAATCTCATCGAAAGGAGCGGAGAAAGTTTTGGGGTTGTTCTGTCTTGGTTTGGGGTGCCTTTTATATACAAATGAACAGAGATAAACATGTCCTACAAGACAATGTGAAAGTAATTAGTAATGACTGGTTCATATACAACAAAATAATAATAACAAAAACATGTAAAATGGACTAAGTAAGAGTAAACAACTGTCGTTAAATTTGGACTGTTTTAGTGTTTACATATTTCACCGAACATAATTGATAAGAAATTAGAATAATTTTGTTTAAAATTTGAATATACATGTATATCCCTTTATATACATCCATATTACATTATCAGTAATATGTGCTTTTAGACCTTTGAAGGTTCCAAAGAATAGAGTCATACACCCTTTAATTACCTCCTGGCAAAGAGTTAAAGTTGGGTCATTCACAGAAACATTGTTTAACTAGCTGCAATGATTCCAGTAGTGGAACCATTAATTGTAGAGCTTAACATCCTACTTTACTACACCAACAGGGCTTATGATGACCGTATCCACCTTTCAGTGAATGAATTTTGTCCGGAGAGCAGCATTTCTGCCTACCGTATACTTTTAATTGAATTAACTGCCATTTTCAATGCTGCATGCCAACAGGTGTGGTCCTGGTTTCAGTCGCAGTTTTCACCCAGGTTTTTATTGGCAGTGAAAAATAGACGGTAAGGATTCCAAAATAGCCTTAGAACCGAGGTGGGGGAAAAGCCTTATTTTATATAGGCCTATACTATAATATAGAGTTGACAGTAGTGTAGCTCTGCTCGGTGGAAGGAAGCGGACATAAAATACAACTAACTCAGGATCAGGCAGTAATGGATAAGAATCCGTTAATAAAGTAACTATTGACAAGGCAAATAGGCATATTCTTCACATTTTGGCGTTTGATAAATTTGAACATTTTACTATGAATGACATATCTAAAGTCTGCTCAAGGAGCAAAGTTCAATTCATCGAGATTCAGTGTTTTAGGCAATAAGAAATACAGTCAAAAACAACCAGGAAAATAGTATTTAAAAAAAAAACAATCCATTGACCACCTATGACTTTGCATAAAGACAGTGACGTGACAATATACTGACCTCCCCCTGCACCAGTAACTAAAACAACTCTACCATCGAATCTTACGGGGGCTGACATCTTGGATATTTGTTTACTTTTATAAACTCGATTCTTCTAATCTCCACAAAAATCCGCGACGCCATAGGCAGAAAATGGCTTCGTTTCGATATAACCGAAATAAAAAGAATAACAGAATCAGATTTTTTTTATATATTTATGGGTAAATTTTATTTGGTCGGAAGAAGTCTTTATAAATGTATATATATCTTTGCATTCACTTACGTATAAAACAAAATTAAAGACATGATTATAGGAATATTGTTTTTGTATCTTAAATCTAGAATAAGTAACATGATCCAATCAAGTGCGCCGCTGTAGGACGCCCTCTGATTGGCTGAAATACTAAATGTGTGTGATTATTTCATAGGCCGATTCACATTGAAGAAATTAAGGCCGAAATCAACAAGCAGCATGTATCTTTTAAGCGACATCAAATGTATTATTTTAATGATCATATGTCTTATTCAATGGATAATTTGTTATGAAATGAGTGAAGACAAGATTCAAGTCAGCGAATTTGATGTCATACCTGGAGGATCGTTACTGTCTCATGAGAAGGAATGGGTAATAATTTAATCAACAATGTGAATGCCAATTGTAAATTAGTTTACATATTAACATGATATATCAATATATATAGGGTTCTAAAATGCCAAGTGCTCAGATGATTCGATCAGATAATGCCACTGGAAAAAGAAGGGTGCCAGACTTGTATTGGGAATTCCTTGTATTCGGTGTAATTGACCAAACTCCATTTTTCAGGGATAGGATCTTGAATTGGAGTCGCATCAACCATGAATGTCCTGTAATATCCCAGTTACTTTAGTAACGGATATTCATATCGCTTTGCTCTCTGTCCGTTACTATACAATTAATATGAAAATAAGGCTCCCCCCCCCCCCATCTCGGTTCTAACTCTCAACACTAAGGCTATTTTGGAATCCTTACCGTCTATTTTTCACCGCGATTCTTCTTTGATCACCAAAAGGAATCATTTCTTGTCACAAATTTATAATAATCTAACACTATTTTCATGTAGAATTGTGCATATAAAAACACAAACAACATTCATTTGAATTGATCTGCCATTATCAAACTCACACCTGTGCAGACCAGTTCATAGCTGCGCTCAGCCAACATTCCAAATTTAGGATTGAAAATTTACTGTAAACAAAAATCAAATTATATTTGTTCATTTTATTTCTACATTTCATTGTAGTAAAATATCTGATAGTTTTGATTGTTGCATCAGTATAAAAATACGCCGGAATTAAATGAATCTTTTTTTTTTCTGTTTACAATGAAAAGTAAGTTACCGTAATTTATATGCATTGCTACAAATTTGTACAAGTAAGGTGCAAGTAAAAACAGATATTTTACTTACATGTAAGTTACCTCATGAAAATGGTAAACTTATATTTGGTACTGCGGAATATTATTAATTGTTGTATTATTTATAATTTTCAGAATGGTTTTGTGTGTAAATTTTCCTATACCTGTCAAGGGGGAACCAAAGAGGTTTGTATATATTTTAGTATGCTATAAAACTCTAGTATAATTTTTATACATGAACATGTAAGTCCATATAATTAAATTTACCATGATGATACATCTGAATAAATACCATACATAGATAGTGCACGCATCATGTGTGCGCATTCTTCTTTTTGTTTTACTTGATAAAGGGGCATAATCATGAAATTTGTTCCAGTTACTCCTGTCGTCGGGATTCTTACTTTTCTAAAATATTTTGTTGGATGTTAAAATTCTGTTTTACTTGAATTTGAGATAAGTAAAATTAATGCTGAATTCAATTTTTATTGATTGTAAAATGTGAATTCTGTCAACTATATATGTACTTGCTCATTTAATCTCTATAATATTTATAAACATGTTTCCCCTACTCCCTCAAGTCATGTCCATCTAGGATGTATTGTTACCGATACTGGACATTTTCAATTGCACTTAAAAATTATACTATCATAGTTCATACAGATGACTTGTGTTATACTTATTTTTACTTTAAAAATGCATTAACGTATCCAGGCCATAATCAACTCTTGATGTCAATGCTAGCCTGCTATATTTACTGGATTAGTATCCCATTTGCTGCTCAACTTTCATTCATTATTTAATCATGAAATGGATAATCAAGACTATGTTTTTTATCATCCCGACTTTAGTAATGATGATCGAGGCTAGGCCGAAAATTTAATCACTGAAATCTCGGTTCAGAGTGGAGCAATTTGACTGAAATTTTCAACAAATTCCCTTTAAATTATCTAGTTTTAACTATTATAGTGAGAACTGTATCTCCTATAATGTATATTTAATAAAGTGCTGGTATATCAAATTCTTCAATTCCAGCAATGGTTAATGGGATTGAGTTTAAATGAAGATCAAACCAAGTTTCAGTGTTCTGTTGAAAGACCTGGTGGTGGGGGTTCATATTTATTTTTCCAGTCTTTTAAATTAAAAATATCTGGCGCCGATGTCAAAGAAGGAGATGCTGCAGTAAGTTATAGATAAACTATCTTTTGTTTCATGGGAAATACATTTGTGTTATGTCAGTTTTAATTTACTGTAACTTAGAGGTGGGTGATATGTCCCAAAACATTTATTGTGACATTTTCACAATATTTTCTAAAATCAGAAATATCCAATTATGATTGATGTCCACACATTTGAAGCCATGGCATAATATCTACAGGACCATTTCTCTTCAGAATGATTTCTTTTTTTTTCAAGTTCCACATTCGTTGTCTCTTGCACTTTCTGTTCTGCCATTCCCAAAAGTAACTCAGTTAAAGTCAGTTCAAAACTGTGATTACACATGTTGGCATTTGAATGTTTTTTTTGCTCCATACGGTTATTGTATGATGTGAAAGTACCGACTAAATATCTTTACATTGTCATTCATTAAATGTTGTTGAATTAATGGGTTTATTTCTTTTCCAGGGTTCGAGCAATGCCCCATTAAAACCCAGTGAATACATTGTAGATTTAAAAGAAAATATGAGTAAGTGTTTTTCTATATCTTTGGCCAAAGGATTCATATTGTTGGTCACTTCTGTCTGTGTCTGTCCATCCAGCATTATGTGATCATGAGAGAGCCTATTTTGACTTTTTACTTTAAATATTTCAGCAAGGTTTTAATCAGATAATAATATATGCCTTATAAGGATTACAGAATATATGCCTTTTATGGTTTTTTTTGACAATTTTGATTGTATTTTTGATTTATGCAAGCAAGTGCAAATTAACTCGGCTTTAATTATAAGTGTAAACCATGAATTGTGTTTGTTTGTGTCGTTAGGGTACTGTCTCCTCCTGTGTTGACCACACCTTCCAGGACTCAATTATAACAGCAGAACCATTATTTGCAGTTACCTCCCTTGTATTGTGGATAGCTTAATCTCAGTTGATATATGCTCTTCAATAAAAGTAGGGAATCTTCAGAAACAAAACAAAACTGAGGAAAAGCAAAAAAAAATTGCTGTTTTTATTTGAGGTAACCAGTGTACATTGTGTATGTTAATAACAGGCCTATTGCCTACACATGAACATAAACAGTTCATATGGGCGGCTTATCTGAAGGTCCCATTTCACACGCAAAGAGATACACTGTCAAAAGTGAAAATGGACGTTTTTGATTTTTGTCTTAATAATGAGTAATTGCTCCACCAATCCTCAGACATTCAGCAATTCGTCGTGGCATGCTCCTAATCAACCTTCCAATCACGATTTTGGGCAATCTGACCTACTCCTCTTGCAGTGCCACGGCCAATTCTTGCAGTGTTGTCGGTTGACATTGACGTCGACGAACACGTCTCCTGATCAAATTAAACGTAACACACTAAAGCAAAGATACACTAAACAGTAAATCTTATGCAAGAATCGATTGGAAAGCAAACATGGATAGGATAAACCAGCAAGCAGCAGTTTTCATCAACCCTTCCTTGAAGTGTCAAATTTGACAATGAACCCCTTGACAATGTATGGCGCTATTGCGTGTGGCACATGCAGCTAAGTGGTTCTGTTGGGGTGATAAGTTCCTCATCTGTGAAAATACTCTCAAAGCATGTCAAGTGTCCATGACTATTTATCATATCACAACCTGCATAGGTATTTGCATTTCAATATCCCCTACTTTTTTTGAAGAGTATATATTACTATTACACTTAACAAAAGCATCAAATTATTATTCAGTCTAATATCATAAATATAAATTTGGAATATTTTTTTTTTTTGGGGTACAGATCCAAAATTGTATTTAAAATATAAATATATATATTTTAACCTATGACATGTTTTTTTTTTGGTACTGATCCAATATTTTATTTAAAATATAAATATATATTTTAACCTATGACATATTTGTTTTATTTCAGTTACTGATGTACCTGGTAAATTTGCATCTCATTTAGAAAGAGTAACTCTTTATTCTGAGAAAGGACGAAGTGAATTATAATCTCATTTTTATTTTTTTCATAATTACTCAAGTGACTTTAAAACTTTGTTTTATTTTCATTAGCATTGCATTCTTTATCAGAAATATTTAAATGGGGAATAGCATACTTTAAAAAACTTAATTGTTTGGTTGTGAAACTAAACGAGGACATGAGAAACCAAAATAAATCATTGGTTATCTACTAGTATATATTTAAAAAAAACGTTATTATCCGGGTTTTGTTTCTGGAGCCATTCAAGATATGTTTACGAAACACATGTCAGCCTATTATGATATACGTAGTTGTGCCTTTTATCAATTATAAATTTAGGAGAATTGATAATTTTTTGGTTTGTATGGATATTTTTATGATAAACCTTGTATGTGGTCAAAAGGTGTATCATAACATGTTACTGTGTCATGTACTTTTTGTAGTTATCTAACACTGCACACACTTTAGAAACCTATTTGTCTAACCAATTTGTTATCTATGATATATGAATACCTGCCTCACTAAATAAAGAGTGATAATTGGACACAGAGAGATGAATACTATGATTAAATATTCTCTGTTGAATGATTTTTGAATTTTTACTACACATTTTATTTTCTCATGCGTAAAGCTTAATGGTTAATGTGTACATATGACCATGATTATTTGTCCCATCCAACTAACTAGACGCTGTTCATTGCCAGGCCATCCACCTTACACAACTGACAAGGGACAACCATGCTGTGCCTTACTAATTGAGCCATGGTAGCTCCCAAGATATATTCAATTGAATAATATGCAGAGGATATAAACAAACCAGTCTGATTAAAACACAGATCCTATTTCGTTTCGTTTTTTATCTAAACTAATATTTGTGATTGTCGTTTGTCTGTCTGTTTGTCTGTCTGTCTGTCTGTCTGTCTGTTCGGGTTTGGCGGCTACACTAGGTCTGCCCCGAGTCTGAAATTTGGGGTATAGGGGTAGCTCAGACCGGGGAGTAACATAGGCCAGGTGGCGTTAGTCTACCACTTCCGGTTACGGGGTTATGACCCCCGAGCGAACCGGTCTGTTTGGGGTTGGCGGCTACACTAGGTCTGCCCCGAGTCTGAAATTTGGGGTATAGGGGTAGCTCGGACCGGGGAGTAACATAGACCAGGTGGCGTAAGTCTACCACTTCCGGTTTCGGGGTTATGACCCTCGAGCGAAGCCGGGTATCCTGCTAGTAGTTCAATATTTTGTTTTACTTGTCTTTACTACAATAGGATCTTGAGGAGTTGTTATATAACCCGCATTCTGGTTGATGTGAGGGATTAGCCAATGAAACAGTCTGTAGTGGGTATCCCACTAGAAATATCAATGGTAATTGGTTAATCAAATGTCTGATGTCACCTGACGCGACCTAACACTAAAACCAGTCAGATCTGCAGGTACTGGAGGCCATCAAAAATATTAAAAAAAAACAAAATGAAATATAGATCTGCATTTTAATCAGATTGTAAACGAACCAACAGTTTTGATGGGCCTTTTTCCTAATCTAATTGAATCGAAGTCGGGACTGTTATCTACTCTTGATATGTTTTGGTTTTGCTTTCTTAAAGATGCAATTGTTACATAAACTATTATGTAGACCTTTATTCACATGACAAGCCTATAATCAACTCTCTGGTTCATTGGATGTGTCAAGATTTAAAAGGATGAGATAATTGAAACTTAGTCTTGATTATCAAGTACCGTTGTTACGATAATAAGCAATCTGCAAACCCTCATATATTCACTTTTCATTATCTATATTTTTTTTGAAGTAATATAGAAAGAACCACCAGCTGTTTATGTAAATCTTTCATAATGTATCATTAATTGGATGTTAAAATTAAATATAGTTTGGAAAATGCAAATGATGATCATTGGCTTTAATGTAGTTTTTAAACCACATGACATTCATTTCATTCTTATTGTTATTGCTAGAGTGTTTTTGTTTTGTTTTACATGTAAGTGCAAAAGAAGGTTTATGACATAATGATTGAGATACCTTGCATTGAGTTGCATGTATATTATATTATTATAAGAAACATCTGAAGCTTTGTGTAGCCATACAGTTTATCCTTTAAATGTTTTATAGAACTCAATAGACACAAAGGTTAGAGTTTGACTTGATACTATTTGTAATTATATATTTATTATGGGTATTGATAAACTGCTGATATAGGGTATATTTATGTATTTGATTGTTGATAGTATATCTGTTCTCATATCATTATTGTTTTAATAGTTCATCATGTAAATATTATCTTTTTCATGTGTTGCACATGTTATAAAACTGTAAACAATATATCAAGACTTCAGTCTGTTCTTATTAAACTTTTTATAGTATCTCAATTACAAATCCCAAGTGCAGCATGTGGGGGGATTCAGTATTTTCACTAAGAGAGGGTGGAGAAGTGGACAGTTGCTAGATTCAGTGATAGAGCCATTATAGACGTTATAAGAAACTGGGAACATTGAACTTTATTGGTTGGGTGTGGATTGACCCAACGTACGCCGCCACTGCCTTATAAGGCATAGACCTTTATTTTACACTGCCACAAACCCTTCTACACAAACTGTAGTCATCAATCTCAACGTTGCTCAATTGTGTTCAAAGCACTCTTTCACCTTCTAGTCGTGAGGCGGGGTTAGGTGTTGAGAGGGGCCTCATAAGTGGAATATTCCTATTGCCTTTCTTAATCTAAATCCGGCGCAGCCATTGATTACTTATCGAACCATAATCTATGTTTGTCCAATAATATTGCATAGCGTTTTGTAAATTGGGAGTTTAATATCCACCCAGCCATTGCGGGACTAAGAATATAATATCTTTATATGGTGATTTCTTTAATGGTGGAGCTCACATTGTCACACACAATCACAGACCGAACTCGTACTTGCATAGATAGCTACACTGTAAACCAGGATGAAAAGGGAACACTTTGTTAGCTACTATACACTGTAAACCAGGATGAAAAGGGAACACTTTGTTGAATGTATGGATGTACTCATTATTTTATTTAATGTGGTTTACAAGGGATATAATTTCGGGTAATCAACCACTCAAAACCCACCTGTTTCAATATTCATATTTATAACCTATTTCCAGTAACTTTTTTTCTGCGCTTTGAGCATCCCATACTGTTTGGAGTCTAGGGTTAACCCTTATTATTATTAATTAAGACCAGACATGTTTGCATGGCCATTTTCTTTTTGATGATACAGAAGTGAATACTGTAGAAAAAAATATGCCTATCAAGTGGATATTGTAATAAGGACCCTTCAGACTGCAATTATTATCCAAGCAAAAAAGTAAAGCCATGATATATGTTTTAACGATGTGTATATATAAATATTTAAATTGGGCACCCAATACACCCTGCGTGTTTCCTGTCAATTACGTATAGTTTAAAAGTTCAAGCTAAATATTTTCAACACATTTATGATTTCTTAACTATTCCCTGGAGCGATATTAGCTATCTTTCATCTAGTTTGTGATTAAGAATACAGGAAAGGTTTAAAGCAGAATCTACACATGGCACGCAAAGTTTCATAACCAAAAGTCTCTTTAAACGACAAATAGTTCATTCGATAGACCCCCGATGTCAAGCATCTTAATTTCTACGACACTTCTAAAGTCTTAAAGCTATCATCAAAGGTATAATTGTAGTAACTCGACTCTATATAATTATCATTTAAAATATCATCCACACTAAAAGCATCTTCGGAATCGACGGTATTTACAACCGTACTAAAAGTAGTCCACGGATTCACATGTCGATCGTATTCCGCTTGAAATTCAACAGACGATACTGAAGAAACACGATCATCCGATGCTGACGATGACGATGGAGTTTGGGCATCGGGACTTAAAATGTATTCATCATCAGAAAAATCACTGTCATCATCTTCGCAAGCCATATTTTCCAGAACGCCATCTACAATAGCTTCGTAGTATCCACTATAAGGCAAAGAACTATCCGAATCACAACACGCACCACCAACACTGCTGATGTCTGAAGAAGGCGAAAGCTCAGTAATGCCGCCACCTTTTAGACTGGTATTATTTGAATGTAAAACTCCAATCTTTTCGTCTAAGCGTAAACCAATTGTAGCGATTTGTGCGTTTGACGATTGTGGGATTTTCGAGACTTTTCGTAGATCTGACAAACTAGAGAGTCTCTCTTTACTCTCGGCTTTCTCGCTTTCTGTGAGTCCTAAATAAGACCAATCGAGATCGGGGGAAAAGTCAGGTGTCTCGTATGTTTCTATTAATGTCTGCCAATGCTTTATATTATTGGATAGAATTCCTTGGGGTGGGGTCTTCGTATTGGTTCCATCTAATGATGACAGACAAGTGGTTCGTCCATTTTCCCGCCGTTTCATTCCATTTCTCCCATCAATTCTATTGGTCACGCTATCGATTTGAGCTACCAACACGTGAAGATCTCCCACTATGCCATGTAAGTTGGTGATGACGTTTTCTAGATTGTATGCCATGTTTCTGACGGTGTTCCGCACGGCGTTACCAACATTTCTTTCATCCTCCACTACGCAGTGTTTACTTCTGTTTTTAGACATATTCTATAAAATCAATATAGTTGTTCATCTAAAAATATAAAACAAAATATCATTAATAACTAGAGCAATTAAAAGATAGATAACAAATGAATTATTAAAGTATTTTGGGGAGTAGTCTTTGAGAAAGAGGTTCTTTGATAACTCCATTCTAGGCCCACATAGATATCTGAACCTCTGATACTTTTCTACCTATGTACTCTTGGTTTTACACAGGTCGGCGCCAATCATAAATTAGCGATGGTGTCATTACATTTTTGCAATATCCATCTACTATACATGCTTATTATGATAGAATAGCCTCATGGGGACATAAATATTAAACTTAGCCGAGTGTATATATGTCCAAAGTGTATGACTCTTTCCTTTGACTGTTGGTTGACAACCAGAGGTTAGTAAGTTTTATTCCGCGTTTGGAAATGTGTTGAGCATTTCTACAAGGATTTCGTCGCTAGTATACCTTACATTATGCACTTTTAGAAGCCTGCAATCGCTACCTGCTCAAAGATACATTCGATCTTTCTGTGGAGTTGGTGTTGAAAGTTGTTTGCAAAATAATCGACCCGCCACATATCAATATAATCAAAATTTTGGGCCGACATGAAATACTGCCTTGGATCCAACCCCCAACATGCCTGCGATACATCTCTCGGAAGATTTAAGTTTTCGATGGAATTAATATAAGGTGTTTCAGAAAAAGTGAATTCTCGCAAAAAAAAAATAATATAAAAATCCTAAAATTAAAACAAACTGTTTCTTATACTTACAGAAACATGGCCATATACTATATCTATTTAAAGGGTCAACAAAGACCATGTAAGTATAAAAAGATATTACATACACAGTAAGCAATAAATAAACCGTTTGCTGTGTAATATTCGAAAAAGGGTTTAATCCTGGCATGGCAGTAAATTTGTGTTTTTGCATCCAATGATTAGTATATCGTTCTAAAACTGAAAGGTCACAATAATCTACTCAATAGTTAAAATTCTTCTAACTATGACATAATCTGGTAAACCTTTCAACTGACATTAAGAAATGTCCACATCTTCATTAAAAATTCATCTCTTGGAAATCAATGTCAATGTCTACGCCACATTACTTTCTTATTACTGGACGGTTGGGGGAAAGAAAGAGTGGTTGAAGCATCAGGACATCTAGGGTTCGGGTTACTAATGAAGCTTTTTGGAAATTAACAATGCACTTTTAGATCTAACCAATTCTTTAGACAATCGCTGTTGTGTTTAAAGTATGGCGTAAATCATTGTGGATCATCTGTAAGTAAGCCCTACACAATTTGTATGTTATTATCACATTACTATTTTCTTAAAGTCAAACTGCAGACCAGCCGTTAACATAGTTTAAGATGTATTAATGGCGAAATTCGTTTCAATATTCTCATAAAAAAAACAAATAATGCTGGGCCTTTATAGACGAATTCCTCGCCATCAACAATCAAACAAGCTGTATAACAAGGAAAGATCAGTGAGAGCCTCAGACTAGTCTGATCCTACACCTGAACGAATCTCTTGAATCTGTCCCTACGTTTAGAATATTAGGTGTATAAAGCTAAATTATGTCTTTAATTAATATACATCCTTATTAATGTTGATCTTAATGAAAAACGGCCGGGTTAGTCTGACCTTAAATCCATATCCAAGAAATCTTATCACGAAACGCCGAGAGTTAATTAACCTCACATGATGATGTATCTTTATCGTGATTTCTGTAATTTCACAAAATGACAAACATCAGCTTATCATTGAAATATTATCGAGATTTTTCAAAATATCGATTATTATTTACTTTGCTTGTGGGAAAGCAGAACACACACAAACACACACATATATATATATATATATATATATATATATATATATATATATATATATATATATATATATATATATAACCTATAAGTATAGACGGGTGTAGAGCAAGAAGGGTGGCATGCGTGTTTTGTTAGAACACCTTTTCATTCAGGATTTCGCATAACTAACACATCACTTTTATATTGCATGCCTTTCAGAGAGAGAGAGAGAGCAGTATATATACATATTGCCGCCGTATATGGTCTGTGATATTGCTTTAAAGGAAGCGAACGTTAACAATAAACTTTTATTTTATTGTAACAAATCACACCGACATATTTTGTCGTGCCCATGGACAAGAATGTTTTGTGACGTATTAAAAACGAAATCCCGTCACTCAATGTACAATTTATTGTCCAAGGAACAATCATGCCAAGTTCTGGGTCGATCGTATATGAATTGTTTTTTACCACGAACGGCAACAACATATTAGCGTACAGGGTCAACTACAGTTTCTGATCGTCATTTGAGGTACTTTTAATCCCAAGCATAAAATGGTTCAATTCCATTCAGTATTTAATAAATCGATGAATGACAACATTCGGTATTCTCTGTATTTGTGGTCGGAACTAGTCAATGTCATCTACAATTTTCGCTGAAAACTTTTGACGGGTCATTTCTAATCAATAGCAGCCCAAGACGGAAGATTATCTGCAGTTGATATTTTGATTTTTTTTCTTAAACATACATTATGCAAGAGTTAGATCTGTCTATTGCAAGTCTTTCTTTAGGCCTAAAATGTTATATAAATGATCAATTAGACATTAATTAACTTATCCAGACCATAATCAACCCTCGATACCATCGCTACCCTGCGATATTAAGCGGATTGGTATACATGTTTTGTAAAATAATTAAACGTAAAATTGGATAATCGGGACTTTGTTTTCATCGTACCGAATTTAGTAATGATGATCGAGACTAGCTTAAAATTCCAAAGCTAATATCTTGGTTCAGAGTGGAACAATTTGACTGAAATTTTCAGCATATTCTCTTTACGTTATCTATGTTTTAACTATTATAGTTAGAACTGTCAACTCTTCCTCTAACCTACAATAATGCCCCTTTATAAACAATTTGATTAAATGACGATCACTTCGACATCAACTTTAATTATTACAATCGCCGTGAGTGACGTCAAATGGTCATTTGTAAGAACATCTATTATAAGGTCTTATTACCATGCCCTATATCATAGCACGCTTTGCTTCAAGAACTCTTAAATGTCACCAGACGACTTTGGACCCTTTGACAAAAGTTACGAAGCACATCTAGCTAAAACAAGGACAACTCTCCGGTGATTTTACAGATTATATTATCTAACAGTGTGTTTAACCCGTGTGCGTCTACAGTAGGTATTTCGGGACCCCACGACCATATTCTTAACGTTTGTGAGGAACTGGTTCGTAATTGTCTAGCTAGAATTGTATACATTGTCAGCTACTTAATATTGATTATAATGCTGCAAATAGAACGGAAGTGGGGCCGTGGCAACATTCATCATTTGACAAGAAACAACGAGTATTATATTATCGGACACAAGGGATGTTGTGGACTCCCCTCACCTTTCCTTTCAACATTTTTCTGGTTACAAGTGTCTAATCTGTTCTGCGCTCTGTGCTAGCTTTGTATTTGGTGATATTGTGTTGGTCATTCAAGTAATCTAGACCTGAAAGCAAACCTAGGTACTTTACCAAACCCATCAATAGACGATTCTACATGGAAATGACAATTAAGTTATTTGTAGATTTGAATTGTTTCAAAAATACCTTATAATTCATATCGTCACTGTTAATAACTCAAATATATATATATTTTACTTTGATTGATTATTATCCAGTCTTTATATGGAGCTGTAGTTTGATCGAATTTGAATAAAATTATACATCCAAAATCCAATTTATGTCTGGGGGTCTTAGATTACCCCTTGTTGCCGACAATGTCTTTCGTGCGAAGTGTCCGCACAAGGGTTAAATTGTACTCTACGGGATAATGGCCATGCCATTGTTAAGGTATTCTTCGCGGCATATGGTATAAAGTTCAATCTCGAGCAATTACACTTTGTAATTATGTGTTAAAAGTAGTACTAGCTTTTCTTTCATTATTCTAATCTGGATTAAAGAACAATATTTTTTAAACGCTCTTACTTTAAAATCAATCAATATATGGGCTATTTTCATAAAAACGTACAATTACCCAATCTTAACACCCATCCAAAAAATATATATATTCTACATAAACATAAAAGTGCCTTCTGTGGGTTAATATGTTGACAAAGTTGTTATTCAGAACTGTCTTTATTAGCCCAATCGTAGATGGACAGTAAGAAATTCAACCCCATTTCATTTATTATTCAAAATACTAACTGTTATGTGGTCAAAATGTTCATTCCGTTACACGGTAAAACTACCCATTCCATACTCTGACCTTGAAAATCTCCTTTTAAAATTTAAAGTTCAACAAAAATTACAGTGCTTTTCAATTAGACATCCAATAGAGTTGAATAAAATCGCCCTACATGGCCATTTAAAACCAACGTAGCAATCAACTATATCAAATATTGTTTCTGTCGACATTGAGAGCGATTTGTCTTTTCTGTTATTACTTTGTTTGAGATTTATTCATGGTAGGGGTGGGTTTGGTTAGCCCGTGCGCGCGGTATCATATTGTCTGCCATTGAGTCGACTGACGTGGTATCGATTCACCGGTTGTACGTAACAAGGAGTTGGGTTACCTGTCCAACCTCCTGGGTTTTCTCCGCGTCCCCCAGTTTCCTCCCACTGCTAAAGACCCCTACGCGCAAGCGAATTATTGAAATAAAATTGAACCATGTGTTAGTCCCGAAATGACCTAGTTTGTGTCGAGTGGACGTTAACTCTCTCACTCTCTCTTTCTCTCCCCCTCTCTCTCTCTCTCTCTCTCTCTCTCTCAATTTAGCAGTGGGATGAAACCAGAGGACCTGGAGAAAACCCACAAGGTTGGACAGGCGACTCTACTCCTTGTCACGTAATACTGGGGAATCGAAACCACGCCAGTTGAATCAATGACAGACCTTATGATATAACGCGCACGCGCTAACAATTCTCCCATGCAACCCCACGATAACGGAAAAGACTTCTTGTATCGGGATAGACAAAACAAAGGGTCTTTTGTTAAAATT